GCGCGTGTGTGTGCATGTTGCAGCAAGAGAATTAACCCTTGAGTTTGAAATTATACACACACACATATATATGTGTGTGTGTGCGCGCGCGCGCGCATGTATATATACACATTGTACACACACACACACACACATATATATATAGACATACATGTGTGTACTATCTATAGATGTGTGTGTCTGTAATCATATATACACGTGTGTATATAATTTCAAGCTCAATGGTTAATTCTCTTGCTGCATGTTGATTAGGTTTGCTTGGCAGTGTGGATAAGGTAGATGAAAATGTAACGTGCTATGGAAAAGCTGGTGACTTAATGTTTTTAATTCTACTATAAAACGCTTATGTTTTTTTAATAAATAGACTCCTATGAACATTATATGTGGAACTACTCTATGAACATTTAAATGGATAAGTTATGTTTAATAGTAGAATGTGCATGTATATATATTCAAAAACTGCACATTTTGATCAAGGAAAAAGATTTTTAAAAGAAAGAAAAACATAAGAGAGGAGCAAATTTCTTAAAGTTTCAGGTGCCATCGGGAAACAACATTTACCATCCAATTTCATCCATTTCAAAGCTTCAAATTAAGGTAGGTAGAGATGCAAGTGATTATTTTATTTTTAAATTATGACTTCCGTTTAAAGTTTGAATGAATTTGTACTTTTGAGTACGGTGCTTTGGCACTACTATAATTTGAATGATCATTTTCCATCTCAACATGTCATGATAATTATATACAAATTTGATTTTGTCAAAAATCCATCTACATGCAATGGTATGAATCTATAATTCGAATTTTCTAATTTGATAACAAAATGCACCGATAATATCTATTGAATTTCAAACTCAAGGGTTAATTCTCTTCCTGCATGTTGATTGGGTTTGCTTGGCAGTGTGGATGAGGTAGATGAAGATTCAACATGTTATGGAGAAGCTGGTGACTTAATATTTTTAATTCGATTATGAAACACTCATATTTTTTTAATAAATAGACTCCTATGAACATTATATGTGGAACTACTCTATGAACATTTAAATGGATAAGTTATGTTTAAAAGTAGAATGTGTTATAGAAATTAACTTACAAGTCACCGTTTACCACGAAAGAAAAAAATGTTAGCGATTTAATGTTGCTTTTGATCAAAATTACAGATTTTATCTTGACTTTTAAAATTCGTAACTCAATTGTTTCTTGAAATTTTTTGACAAATGAATGGCGTTTGATAGCTTCATAGATTAGCTACTAAATAAATTTGGAATCATGTCGATCCAATGTCGGCAAAATATTATATGTCACTTTAAGTAAACTGAGTGTTGCTGTTTTTTGAAAATTTCAGTTTTTGTCATTGGCTTCTAACTCAGTCATTACTTGGGTTTTTGGACAAAACCAGTGAGGCTCGATATTGACTTTATGGATTACCTAGTGAATAAATTTAAAATCATGTCGATCTAATATTTGTAGAATTTCATATGTCACTTTAAGTAAACTGCACTGGATTACCTTTGAACCCGAGTCGTTGCAAGATTTTTAAAATATTTTGATACTTTTTATTTTGATGACAAAAGCCAATTCTTGGATATTTGACAGTATAAGAAGTTTTCTACTTTACATTAAAATTTCTTAAAGTTTTGGGGTTGATAGCTATGCAAATGAATTTATTTTAAAAATTGTCATTTGGGATGGAAAGCAAAACAACAACATTTATTGTTTTAAATTTTTGCCTAGTATTTCATGTCAATAATAGATACATGCATGGTAATCATCCTGGAGACTTTTTTTTTTTTAAATTGTTTCTTTTAGTATTGAATTATATTGTCTTTTTTTTTTTGAAAAAAAAAAGGACTACTTTACCTACTTTTTTATGCATGCCATTGTTCACGTAAACAGTAGAATTTGCATGAAATTTGTTCAAATTTTTTGGTGTCATTTCACTATTTTTGCTATTGTCCACTTTTGAGAAATAATTAGATGATCCCTTAATATGAAACGATGTTGTTTAGAATTAAATAATTCTTGAAATAAATCCTTAAATTAAATCTTTATGCTTTTCGCTAAAAGTATAGTCAACTATTAAGTTTGAGGCTAAAATACAGTTAATCTAATTATGTTTCCATCCCTGTGAGTCGAGGTGTTACATCATGGTATCAGAGCCAAAGTTCAGCTGATCTTGTAGACTCGTCGCTTTTAATATGTGTGTGTGTGTGTATTTTAAGTACAAAGTAGGAAATTTAAAATGAGATGTTGAAATATTTACGACTCTCCATAGCATTTCGCATCCATCAATCGATCTCATCCTACAACCCATGTATATTCAACTAAGCAAAGCTAAAGTTATTATTATTAAAAGATTATGATTCTATTATGATGTTTTCCATGTTGTGGCATATTTTACATTTTTCTTCAAGTATATGTTATATGAAAAGATAAGCGTAATTTGAAAAGGAAAATGTGTTGTTTAAAGAAAAACAAAGTATGTATTGGGCTAGCAATTAAAGTTTTGAATGCGAGATGGTTGGGGAAGACAAAATGCTAGGAGAAAGAATCAGGTTAGTCAACAAGAGAGAGATATTCAAGCATACCTTGATTTTGAGGTAGACGAATCTTTAAACCTTCACAATCACATACAAAGTATGTACCAACATTGGCTAAGAGCAAAGAATGTGGGTTATAGTATTAGTGACCGACAAGCAATAGGTCATCTACTAGAAACTCTTGCATCTTATGAAAAATGTATCGGGAAGCTTATACAAGAAAATATGCTATTCCAAAATTTGGAAAGTAAACCTAAAAAACTTGACTTCAAGGATTTTTGCAATGCCTATATCCATAATTGGGAGAGTATGATTGGTGATGTTATCTTTCACTCGGGATCCGAATCGATAGTAACTTTAGATGATGAAGTTGTACAACCAATTGTAACACATACTAACTAAGAGGAAGAGGAAGATCCAGAAGAGGACCCAGAAGAAGATCAAGAGTGAAATGAGTAGAGACAATGGAGATTACTCATCTATTTAAAAAGTAATAATTGAATTGTTTTTCCTATTTCAAGATGTAGTCATAAAAAAAAATCCTGTGATCAAAGTTATGAAATATTTCACTTTACCCCTTCATTCTAAGCATTCTGATATTGGTATATAACTTTAATAAAAGATACTATTTGTTATTTCAAGGAAAATGTTTCGAGCACACTAGAACAACTTGATAAGGAACCTCTTGCAAGTGGTTCAAGATCTTAGCAGGCTGAGTCAGAGTCAAGCTCCACCCACATCACCAGCTCCTATTACTATCCCGACCCATGCCTCGATAGTTGAGTTATTTCAAAGGTATAAGCTCCTACCTTTGATGGAGCATCTGGTCCACTAGTAGTTGAAGAATGACTTAGTAAATTAGAACAAATTTTTCAACTCATAGACTGTACTGATGTCCAAAAGGTCTAGTGTTCGAAGTTTATGTTTATCAGTGATGCAAGTCACTGGTGGGACTTGATTTCTCGAAGTAGGACCCTGGAGCAGCAATTGGCTTTAACTTGAAAACAATTCAAGGAGAAAGTGAAGGACAAGTATTTTACTCAGTCTTTAAGAGATTTTAAGGAGATTGAATTCCTTTAGCTCAAACAAGGTAATATGTCCACTGATTACAAACAAAAGTTCGATCAATTTACAAGGTATGCTCCAAATTTGGTTAACACGAAAATTAAAAAGACTCAAAGATTCGAGCAAGGGTTAAACTCAAACCTAAGCAGGAAAGTCAAACCTAAGCAGGATCCTTATTTCATGTCGATTCACATCATACCATGAGATGCTGGAATAACTCATGTTATTTGGCATTAGAAGGCTAATGTAGAGCGACATGGTCAATTGTACAACCAGCAGAATAAAGGGAAAATTGGGAAGAGAAAGGGGAATGGTCAAAACATAAGAAAAGGCAAATGAAAAAAATAAAAAGCTAATATTGAACGTAGTGCTAGTAAAGACATGGTAGCTGCAGTAACGTCATGCCATTAGCGTGGCAAGCCCCATCGTAGTGAATGCTTGTATGGAAAGAATGCTTATTTTTAGTGTGGTAAGCCAGGACATATTGCTAAGGATTGTCCTATATCTACTTAGAAGAAAGATGATAACAATGATCAAAACAAAAAGGAAAAAGCACGAGTCTTTACACTGACTCGGAAGGATGCAGAGAAGAAAAACATAACAGTAAATATTTCATTGATATCCAATACATCTGCTTATGTACTATTTGATTCAGGAGCTACTCATTCTTTTATATCAATGTCTTTTATTGTTAAATCTAGAATTACTTGTGATAAGTCAAAGAGTACACTAGAAGTTAGAATCCCATCAGGTAGAACATTAAATACAGATCAATTAGCCAGGTTGGTAAATCTTGAAATTGAGGGGAAAATATTAGAAGCTAATTTGCATCTGATAGAGATGAAAGACTTTGATGTGATTTTGGGTATGGATTGGTTGAGATGTAATTATTCAACCATTCAAGGTAGAGAAAGAGAAGTATCTTTTCAAAAATCAGGAGAAGAGCAATTATCTTTTCTCAGAATAAAGACCAAACTCCATCTCCAACTAGTATCGGCCTTACAAGTTGAGAAAATATTGAGAAAAGAAACATATTAAAGGTTTCTAGTTAACATCTCAATAAAAAATAGGCAATGATAAAGATTAAGGACATACAAGTGGTACAAGAATTTATAGATGTGTTTCCCGAAAACCTAACTTGTACTCACCAAATAGACAAGTTGAGTTCACAATAGCTCTAGTTCCTGAAATGGCACTAGTATCTAAAGTTCCATATAGAATAGCTCTAAAGGAACTTCAGGAGTTGAAAATTCAATTACAAGAATTGTTAGATATTGGTTTTATTCGACCAAGTGTATCTTCGTGGGAAGCACAGTATTGTCCGTAAAGAAGAATAATGGAAGTATGAAGATGTGTATCAACTATCGAAAGTTGAACCGTTTGACTATCAAGAATAGATATCCTTTCTTGAGAATCGATGATTTGTTTAACTAATTGAAAGGGGCTATGGAACTTTCAAAGATTGATTTACGGATATCATGAATTGAAGGTTAAGGCGAGTGATGTACCCAAGACAGCTTTCAAAACTTATTATGAACATTACGAGTTCACGTTATGACATTCAGGTTGATAAATGCCCCGGCAGTGTTCATGGATTTAATAGATCGTATATTTCATCAGTAGTTGGATCAATTTGTCATAGTCTTCATTGATAACATTTTGATATACTCCAAAAGTAAAGATCAACATGAGGAACATCTTAGAATAGCGTTAGAAATACTATGCAAGGAAAATTATACACCAAATTTAAAAAGTACAAATTTTGGCTTGAGCGAGTTAGATTATTTAGTCATGTGGTTACTGTCGAAGGAATTGAAGTGGATCTAGTAAAAGTGGAAGAGGTGACTAATTGGAATACATCGATTAATGCGGGTGAAGTTCGAAGTTTTCTAGGATTAGCCTGATACTATCAGAGATTTATAGAAAGATTCTCTAAAATAGCTAGACCAATGACACAATTGACAAGTAAATGAGTAAAGTTTCAATGGACAAATAAGTGTAAGCAAAGCTTTCAAGAGCTAAAACAACGATTGATTATAGCACCCATGTAACCATACCCAAAGGTTTGGAAGGGTTTGTTATATATAGTAACGCATCCAAACAATGTTTGGGATATGTACTGATGCAGCATGGAAAACTAATTGCCTATATGTCTAGGCAATTGAAGCAACATGAACAGAACTACTTGATGCAAGATCTAGAACTTGCGGCGGTAGTACATGTATTGAAGATATGGCACATTACTTATATGGAAGGAAGTGCGACATTTACACGGATCATAAGAGTCTCAAATATTTCTTCACGCTGAAGGATTTGAATATGGACATAGACGATGTTGTAGCTAGTAAACGATTATGATTGTACTATTCATTACCATCCTGTAAAGCTAATGTTGTCGTCAATGCTCTAAGTAGAAAGTCAATGGATGTTTGACATTATTACCTACTACTCAGATGGAGTTGATCAAAGACTTGGAGAATTCACGAATCAAAATGGTTACCACACTAGAGCAAGTCACCGTCCGTTTAGCAACTTTGGTGGTTTGACCTACTTTTATAAATCCGATCATAGAAACACAGAGTAAAGACCTATTCATACAAAAGATCAAGAACTAAATTGGCACTCAAAAGAGAAAGGATTTTGGAATAGTTTCGGATAGGGCAATGATATTTAAATGAAGAGTTTGTGTACCTAAGGATGAAGTTTTGAGGAATTAGATATTGGAGGAGACCCATTTTATCCCATGCACCGCACATGTTGGTAGTATAAAAATTTATCGAGACTTTCGAGATACATTTTGGTGGAGGAATATGAAAAGAAGTATAAACTTATTTGTGGCAAAATGCATAGTGTGTCAACAAGTTAAAGCAGAACATCAAGTACCAGAAAGGTTATTAAATCCATTGGACATACCTAAATGGAAATGAGAAAATATCGCAATAGGCTTTGTGGTAGGATTTTTGAAGTCACCAAGAGGACGCCATGCTATATGGCTAATAGTGGATCGTCTAACAAAGTTTGCTCATTTTCTTTCGATAAAAATGACATTCAGTCTAGATTAGTTGACACAGTTGTACACTAGAGAGATTGTAAGATTGTTGGTGCCTCCGTATCCATTATGTTGATAGAGATTTGAGATTTATATCTAAATTTTAGAAGAGCTTACAAGGGCTATAGGAACAAAATTGAATTTCAATATGGCCTATTACCAATCCGATGGTTAATCTGAAAGAGCTATTCAAATTTTGGAAGATATGCTAAGGGCATATGTTTTGGATCTAGGAGAAGGTTGCGAATCATATCTATCTTTGATGGAATTTTTATTTAATAATAGTTTTCAAGCAACTATTGGAATGGTACCGTATGTAGCTCTCTGTGGTAGAAGATATAGATCACTTGTTCGTTGGGATGAAATCGAAGAAAAGAGAGTTTTGGGACCAGATATCATTGAAATGATAGTTGAAGCTGTTGATAATATTCGTACTTGGATAAAATAGTACAAGATAGACAAAAGAGCTATGCAAATGAATTTATTTTGATAATTGCCGCTTGAGATAAAAAGCAAAACGACAACATATATTTTTAAAATTTTTTCCCTACAATTTCAAGTCAATAATGGATACATGCATGGTAATCATTCTAAAGACTTTTTTTTGAAATTGTTTCTTTTAGTATTGATTATGTTATCATTTTTTTTTTAATGACTGCTTTACCTACTTTTTTTTTTGCATGCCATTGTTCATGTAAAAAGTAGAATTTGCTCGAACTTTGTTCAAAATTTTCGGTATCATTTCACTATTTTTGCTAATGTTCAAAATTAAAGTTACTTCTAAGAAATAATTAAATGATCCCAATATGAAATGATGTTGTTTAGAATTAAATAATTACTGAAATAAATCATTAAATTAAATCTTTATGTTTTTTGCTAAAAGTATAGTTAATTATTAAGTTTACGGCTAAAGTACAGTTAATCTAGCGACTTTTCGATCCATTCGAGTCGAGATGTTACAAATTGAGTGGCCACCATTCTATGAAAATTCTTAAAAATGGGATAAATTTCGTTCTTAGATTTTAATAAATAAATTCAAATAGCATGAGAATAATAATCAATAAATAGCATAAAATATTTATACAACCATCATATGAATCAATTCGACATAGCCCCATAAATTGGAATTTATTAACTTTAAAGGTTTAACAAATTTAGATGACGAATTATTAAATGTTAGACGGACTTGTTTGGAAAACTGATAAACGTACAAACATGTGTCTCAAGAAACAGGTGGAAATAAAAAAGATAAAATATGACTAGAAGGATGTCCAAATCTTTGATACACAATATGATTTTCTAGCATAGCACTATTAAGAGAAGTGGCACCGAACCAAATGGTTTCAACATATAAAGTCCATGTGAGTAGACACCTTCACCAATCTTCTTCCCTGAAATTCGATCTTGAAACACAACACTATTAGGAGAAAAAATAACATCGCAATTTGATGAATTAGTTTTTTTTCCAACGAAAAGAAGTTAAGTTGGAAATGAAGGAATCACAAGTGCATTCGAACTAGGAAGGCCAGGAAAAAAATTAATTTTTTCAGATCCACAAATAGGTATTGATGTATTATTAGCAACTGAAATAACATGTTTGGATGAATTTTTTGAGAAATCACTCAAAGATGCTGCATCATTTGTCATATGATCAGTAGCAATCGAATCAATAATCCAAGTATTTAAATGTTTAGATGTATATGAAGAAAAATAAGTTTCAAGGTTACCAGAGACATGAGTACTGGAAAGAGTTGATTCTTTTGGAGTAGCAGGACTAGGATGTTTGAGTTGTTGGAGAATTTGGGCCAATCGATTCATTGAAATGGTAGTATCAGCAACAGCAACACCTTCCATGTTTTCTCCTTTCATAATAGATGACTTAAGATAAGGATGAAGTTCTCAACAACTATCCTTAGAGTGTCCTAACTTGTGACAGTGGTCACATTTTGGAGCTTTTCGTCTTTTCTTGTTCTGAAAAGTTATCATTTTTTCATCTCTTTTAACAATAAGAGTAGATGACTCAGGTCTATTCTTTAATTCCGAATTCATTGCCTTTTTTGAGTTTTTCTCACTGCACAGTTGCGCACACACTCGAAAATGTTGGAAGCATAGGACTCATAAGGATATGATTTTGAAGATTCTTATACTCTAACCTCAAACTATTCATCCAAGAAAAATCTGATCTTTTTCAACCCCATTTAATAAGATCTTCGCAATGGTTGTATGTGGACGATACATGCTCAAATTGTCCCACATCTTCTTAAGATTACCAAGATGTTCGATGAATGGTTTATCTCCTTGCTCAGCGGTAGCAATTTCCATTCCAATTTAAAGATTCTAGTGGTATTATTTTGGTTTCCATAAAGTTCCTCAAGAATCCACAACTGAAGCCGAGTCTGGAAAGGTAAAGATTTCAGCAATATGTACTTCCATTGAATTTAAAAGCCAAGAACAAACAAGTTGATCGTTCGATATTCATCTTTCATATGTTGGCTATAGAATCTGGAAAGATAGAAGTGCCATTGATGAAGCCCAACTTTTTTATTTCTACCAAGAGACAATGTCACGGCTCTTGACCATGATATGTATTTTATACCATTCAAAAGAATAGTAGATAACTCCTATCGAGTATTAACATCATTCTCCATTGTTATAGATGGATTAATTACTTTCTCAGTTATTCTAAATTGAAAAACAAATAAGTAGAGGCCAAAAATTGAACAGCAGAAAATTGAAAAATGCGAATAGTAGAACATTGTCAAAAATAGCCCGAAACACAATTAGCCAAATACGAAGGATACAAATCCAACCGCACCGACTTTGCATAATTTCGAGTTACAGTTTGAAAGATACAACCATTTTCATGAAGGTCGCTCAAAACTGAAAAAATCTATTTCCATGGAGATTGTGAAAAGTTTGGATTTCTGAACAGATTGTGTTTGAATAGCAATGGACCAAATCAACACATCCACTCTGATAACATGAAGAATTCAATAAAACTAAAAGGAATACAAAGTGGATTCAATATTATGTGGTTCAGTGCCAATATAGCAACCTACATCTATGGGAGAAGAGGGGACTTGTATATTATTCACTTATGTTTGGAGCTTACAATAAAACATATATAGTCACATTACATCAAGGTTGCCTTATTAGGGATGAGGCAATCAAGGAAAGAATATAACGAATTATGAAAATCTTCTAAATCGTGGTTACGCAATAATATTCTCCAATATTACTAAATCCTTCAAAAACCTATTTCTGTCCAGACACGAGAAGGAAATTCTTGCTTTAATCTTAACAGTGAAAAATGTTAGTTATATCTTGTAGGGAGGAAATTCGTTGTTTGAATATGTCATCAACTTTTGGACTTAGAAAACGACTATAGTAGCTCAAGAGCATTAGCTTTACAAACCAAATGGGGATTAATTTTAGATGTTGAGTATAAGAAAAGTGGCGAGAATTTCATTGCTGATGCTTTGCCAATGACGTCATGTATCAGAACTAGTGGCATCATCTTTTCTTTTTCATTCTCACAACTAGTACCCCATTGACTGATGCCAATAAACAGGATTTCAATGCTAACTTTTGCTAAAGAAGGTTAAAGAACATGATACATCAAGGATAAGCTATTGTTCCATAGAAATTAGTAGATGGATTAGCATTTTACAAAGGTTACTTTCTTCTTTTGCTTCTAGCCTTTCATATGATTTTATTCAAGAATTTCATGGAAGCATCTCATATGAAGGATGTGTGAAAACATTGCAGAGAGTTAAAATTGACTTCTATACTTCTATTGGAAGGGGTTGAGGAGAGAAATCATATAATATATCTGTGGTTGTGACATGTGCCACTGACATAAAGTTGAACAAACTGAACATTTGTCGTTATTTAGTATTTGTCATTGTCCAACTATTATCATATTATAGGGTCAAGGACTTTATAAATGTAGGCACCTTATCGTTTCTTTAGCAGCTTCACAAGTTGTCCTACACTTGGCTTCCATGGTAAAAAATTAATGCATGATTGCTTAATATTTCTGATGTGAACTACGTAGCAGCGTTGACTATGAAACCCACAACGAGATTGTTACAAAAATCCAGAAAAGTCTAATTAAAGGTTTAGAGTTTAAACGTCAAATTAATGAACCAAAAAACATAGCAAGAACGTTGTTTGAAGGACCCCTTGATTACACAATCCAAGACCCGTACCCGAATTATAGAACTCCACAAGAAATGTGATTCTTGATAAGTTCAAGT